CACTACCCACAGTCGACCCAAAATCTGGGTCTTAGGCTTACTTGAGTGACAAGTCCCCTGGGTGTGTGGCTTGTAGGCCCAGCCCACAGGTATACTCATTGGTGGTGTCAAGGCTCCCTGTCTCCCCTTTTATTTTCTCTTTTTCTACATCATTGTATCTTTTTTTTCTTCTTTAATTTCTTTCATTTTTCAAGGTCTATATATGTCATTTGATATGCTGTAACAAGATGGTAACAGACACTCTTACTTGTACAAACTTCATATTATCTCCCTTGGTAGTTAAAAATTCTATGCATTAACAATAACAGTAAGTAACATTGTGTAATTTGACTTATTTTTATTATATTTTCATATTATGTAGTTTTTTGTAACAGATTCTTGTGCAGTTCGACAAAGTACCCCAGTAATGGGGTGCAAGCTCATGTTCAGTGAGATGCAACTTAATAATGTTCATAATGATAATAGTTTTATATATATATATGTATATATGTATGTATGTATGTATATATAAATATAAACAGATAGATAGATAGATTGATATTTGAACTTATATTGGGTTGAGAGAAATGTACAATAGAATGGACATACTGGATTGTGAAGGTATCATACAAAGTCAAACCCGATCGTGATGGAAAAAGTTTGAAGAATTCTGCTCTAGTGTCCTCTCTGGAGCCAGCACTCTTCCAGCTGGTACATTTCACTCTTGTTTACCTGGAAATAATACAAAAGCCCTTTCATAAATGCCTGCTGAATCTAATCTTCCTCCAAGAGCTTTGTGCACTCATGGTGAGTCATTAATGTTACCTTGACCTCGAGCCAAATTTTTCTTGACAGCATATTTTTCATAACTTGATAGTCATGTCACCTGTAATACATTAATTTCTCCATTAAAAAAGAAAAAAATCCTTTTATCATCCTCTTGTTTATTCTCTCTTCATCTCTTTTCCTTTTCTTTAAAAAAAAAAGATATGTAGAAGATTAAATACACATTAGCTAATTGAGTAATGAAAATTAAAGATCAGTAGAATACAATATATAATATTCTATGAACTGAATATACTTAAATTCACCAAGTGTGTTTTTGGATCCCTCTTGTTGAAACACTGGTCTTGTCCTGTTGCATTGAGTTATTTTTGGGTATGGTTCATGCACATTTTTTTTTATTTGTTTTATTTTTTGTTTTTCCAGCACACATAATTTTGTTTCTGAATTTGAGTGAGGAATTTATGTATAAAAAATGTATTTGATGTGATCTGAAACATTCTCAATTTAACACAGTGATAAAAAAAGATGAAAAAGATAAAGGAAAAATAAAAATGTCTGAAATCTCAGTTTTCATCATTTGCAGATGTGCTGGCAAAACAGCTTATAAAGTGCGAGGCCGCTCCTTTTCCTCATGTACAATTCGTCTCAGTCAGCCTCTTCTTACTCAAAGGCCACACTCTGATACAGTGAACACACTCTTAGTAAGTACAGGTTTTTAGAGAATGTTCACATTTTATGCATAGATATTGTTATTCAATATTAGATGCTGTAATTAGTAGTAGTAGTTGTAGTAGTGTGTGCATGTGTGTGTGTGTGTGTGTGTGTCTTTCTGTCTGTCTCTGTATACAGTCAGCGCCATCGCAATAGGTGCTACCTCGTGATGCGCATTCATGTAACATAAAAAGTAATATGGAGGGAGCAGTCAATGGTCTTGGTACAAAGTGGCAAGTCCCTTACACTTCACACAACTTGCCATGCATTTTGGGATAGATTCCACCAGCTGCTGAAAGAAACTGGGCTCAAGGTTGCCCCATATATTATGGAGGTCCTCCATGATCTTAAGCACCATTGAGATGTCCCTCCCTCAGATGTTCTCAATGGGGTTATGATGTGGGGAATTCCCCTGCCAGTCTTTGATGTAGTCAACACCATCCCATTTGAGCCAGTCCTTTATCAATTTCAAAGTTGCCATTGCACTGTCCTGTTGGAAGATGTTGGACTGGCAGTGGCTTAAGCAGTCTTCAAGATGTTTGGTAATTAGCTCCAAGCAGTGGTCCCCACTGACATTCATGTTCCTCGATAGGACAACAAACTTCCCTGTTCGAAGGTACCTGAAGGCAAACCATGCCATTGCTGAATCAGGCTGTTTGACTGTGGCTTACAAGTACTTTGGCAAGAATGGACCTGTGGCTGGCCTCATCCTCACCTTCCTTCCTCTGTTTCCAGTCACTGTAAAGGTTGTCTCATCAGTCCACAATGCATGCTCCAATCTCTTCAGGTCCCAATTCAAATATTTCTTACAAAATATAATTCTTTTCTGCCTTTGTTTCTTGGTGAGCAATGGTTTTCTTCGCAGCTGGCAGTCTTCATAAGAGGTCATCCGTGAATCAGCATTGGATTGTATAATCACTAACCTCCCTCAGCAACAATGTATTCTTTTCCTTTATTTCTTTCACAGTCACATGCGGCTCAGCCTCTGCTTGATGCAAAATGAGTTTGAGGGTCCTGTTAGGTG